TTCAATAAGTATGTTGATAAGTCAGAGAGGGTTCACAGAAGAGCCAAGTGAATGATTAAAAGATTTAAAAATCTGATTTACGGTGTGATCAACTCAAGGAGTTCAATCTGTTTAGCTTAACAAAGAGAAGGTTAAGGGGTAACTTGATCACAGCATACAAGTATCTACATGGGGAACAAATATTTAATTGTAGGCTCAAAGGTATAACGCGATCCAATGGCTGGAAGTTGACACTAGTTGAATTCAGACTGGAAATAAGGCGTAAATTTTTTAACCATGATAGTAGTTAGCCATTGGAACACTGTACCAAGGATTAATGATGGAGACTCCACTGTGACAATTAAAATCAGGATTGGATATTTTTCTAAAAGATGTGCTCTAGGAATTATCTGGGGGGGGGGGGTGGAAGTTCTATGGACTGTCTTGTACAGGAGGTCAGACTAAATGATCATAATGACCTTCTAGCCTTCGAATCTATGAATCCCATACACACCTGTAAAATGATCTAGTAATTTAACTGCCTATATGACATGGCCATAGAATTTCCCCAAGATAATATCAGTGCTTCTCTTTTAGAAAGGCATGTAGTCAGTGATGGAGCATTCACCATTACCTTTGGTAAATTGTTCCAATAGCTAATTAACCTCACAGTTAAAAATGTAGGCCTTATTTCCAGTCTGAATTGGTCTAGCTTCCATTTCCAGCAATTGGATCATGTTATACCTCTCTCTGCTAGACTGATGAGCAAATTTTACAAGTGGACAAACTGAAGTACAAAGATTAAATGACTTGCCCAGTCACAAGATAAATGAGCCAAGATTAGAACTCAGGTTTCCAGAATCAGTCTTCTGTATTACTGCACCTCCCATCACTCTTCTTCATTTACACAATCCACTGCCCCCTATCCACTGTTCTGCTCAACCCATGTCTGTGCCTGCTCACGTCCAGAATCACTGTATGGACCATGAGCCAAACAGACTGCCATCTCCTTTTTCCCCACTCCAGAGTCCATTTTAACTGAATTAGGCATAAGAGTCTATCTGCATGAAGCCCAATGCAGAATTAAGGCCTATCTAAACCTCACAGAAGTCAGTGGGAATCTGCATGGGTGCAAGGGTCTACCTACAGGGATTCCCTTAAAAGATCAGGAATTTTCAAATAACATTTCAAATATGAGGTACTGTACCTCAGTGAAGGGTTAACTCATGTCCTAATGTATACGGTATGCTAGTGTCTGTAACTTGAAGAAAATTTATTTAACCAATACATCAAAGGCACTTGTCCTTAGTTAGGAAAATTTTAATTGTTAAATCCTGACTACTTAAATTAGATAGGCTGGCTATTCAAACTAAAGAGAGCTAAACTATTTTCTGAAACAATAAAATCCTCTGCACGCACATACCCCCCAAACGCATAACCCACACTTTGATAACTCAACTTTTAAAAAGAAAATGGATTATTTTTATATGGGCCTGAGAAACATCAGATATTTCAGTCCAGAAGGTACTACTCGTAGAAAGTTTATTTACATACAAGGCTTGCAAAAGGAAGTGCTTTCACAAGAATAGTTATAGCAGGAGACAGAGCTCTCACAGGGAGCTGGACCCAGACTCTTCTCTTGTAGGCATGAGTACATAATGACTACACATCTCACAGTGTTAAATCAAAGAAGTGTAGCATATATTTAGTGCCTAACTTTTTCACAGTAAACTCTTCATGCTGTCTATGAGCCTAGTGAGAGACATGGATGGGAAGAGGAATCTACCTGTAAGTTACTCCAGCAGGCAAAGGAAGAAAGTAGAGAATTTTGTCTGAACTTACTAAACTATGAGGTGCTGATATAACCACTTAAGGTCTCACAAACATTTATAGATCAAAAAATAAATACAAGAAATGCTAACTAGTAGGAAAGAAAAAGTACAGGATTAAAAAAAAAAAATACTGCTTCTTAACCTCTTACTTTTTGTTTTTCTTCCTAGGAAGAAATATCAAAAGCTCAGTTGTATAAAGATCGAGTTGTCAGGCAGCACTTTTGTCCATAGCCTGGGCTTCCCTAATATGGATGAATGTTCTCCACAGCAGGCAGAGAATTTATTGAAACATGGCAACCTGCTTAGATGGCAAACAATATATGTTGAAAAAAAAGTTAGCATGCGAACATAAAGTCAAACTCAGAAGCAAAGGCAGCCTTGGAGAATCACAAGATATTCTTGAAATTATTTGCTGAAACAGGAGAATTATATATGAAAAAAGTTAATTGATACTGCATGATCCATGCAATTGGTTACAAAACTGAGTTCATCCCAAAACCCCTGAATATATTCTTCTCTTGAAGGGAACTAATAAAATATTGAACATGAAAGTAGACTGCTGATTCAGTTAGAAGAAAACTAACTATAGGATTTATTGAAGAGAGGTATACCAACGCACAAGTCAAGCTGCAGGAAGAGGCAATGCCACACAAGGGATCAGAGTATAGGTCCCATGTCTGTCCTACGCTTCCAGGCTGGCAGCATTTCCTGAAGGAATGTCTCATTGCCCCCTTCAGGTCAATCTAAGGAACAACATTAGAGCAAGACAAAACCGTTTCAAGCCCTCACTGACTAGAAGGTTCATCACCACAACTGGGAGAACAGGCAGGAAGTTTCCTGAAGAGTTCCCCTTTCCCCAGACATTCCCTTGGAACTGACTTGAAATGTCACTACCCTCTCCTCCTGAAGACTCGCCTTTGCTACAATGCCTATAATGTGGGCCGGGCTGGGGGGGGGAGGGGAAGAGAATGTTAGAAAGAATTAGCAGTTAATCTATTTACAATAAAAAAAAAGGAAGTATTATAAGAGATTTATTGTGTACCACTACCTTCACCTTTCATGTCACTTGTAATCTTGGGACTCTAAACTCTTCAAGGCAGAAAAGTACATCTCCATACATTTGTGCTGCACCTGTTACATGGAGCACTCTATCCTTATTGTGACCTCTTGTTAAGGAGAGGAAGATTTTCAAAAGCAGAAGTGGCAGTTAAGCACCATACTGGCATTCAAAGCCTTTGTGTCTTTGAAAGATCTCTTCCATACATATTAAATAATTTGGACAAAATGAGTACCCCAGCTGGAGACCGTGACAGAACCAAAGTCTCACATGCTATTTCTTGGATTGCAGTTGCAAAGATGTCTCAAATATAGAAACAATATTTAAACTTTTTCTAGAAAGTCATCACTAGGGTTGGTTCTTTGTTTGATCAGGAAATACTAAATAGTGTCAAATTCAAATCTAGTTTATTCAGGACCCAGCTATGTGTATTAAATCATTCAATTCCATATATTGGTTAATGCAATTCATTACAGGATTTCAGACTATTAGCCCAAACTGAATTTTCTTGCTTTGGTGTGTTTACATCACAGCCTTAGTAATAGTTTTTACACTTAAGAATCCTTAAAATACAAAGTTTTCAACCCAGCATGCCGTGCAGGGAGAGATCTTATAGGGCTCATTAAAACAATCCACTTCTTGAGATTCAGCACCACCACTTTAGGGAAGCTCCACAGTCAGCATAGAATTGCTCTTTAAAGGGTTTTAACTGCACAGAAAGTCAAACTGCAGCAAGATATTCGTAGACAGCAAGTTAGTTAGTTTACCAATTAAAACGAGACTTAAAATGAACTCCAGATTTTAGAGTTATGATACAAGGAGTAAGTTAGAAAAACTTAAGTTTCTAGACCTAGCTTAATTTCACCAGAACTACAGAGCAGTTAACGCAATCATTTTAGTCTGCGGAAATGCCTTAAACAAAGAACATTTGTTAACAAAGTACATACTGGAGAGTCAAACTTTTTAAAAGAGTATTTTAGTTGTTACCATAATGGTTTACTGTAAGTGTATAAATGCAGATAGGAGGCATTCTGTCACTATAAGCACATCTCTGCTTCATCATGTTCTAACCCCAGGAATGTTTGTGAGGCTCTTCAAAGCCACAGTACTCCTAGTCATGCTTGCATTATAATTTTTTGTTTGTACGTCACTGTGTTGTCAGATCTGTGATACCTTCCCTCCCAATTCAAATGCAGAAAGCTTGCAATGTATAATGTAACCGCCACACCTCACTTTTTTTTAAATCTAACAGAGGTTACATGTAAAACGAATGGAAATGTACTAGTGTTTAGCACAAGATAACATGCTCAAACAACAGAAAGATGGAATTAAATTAATAGCAGAAAATTAAACATTTCAGCACTATTACAAATATATCAAAAGAATAGTTAAAGATGAAAGTCAGCAAGAATACATTAACAACATGTAATTTGTAGGATTAAGACTTAAAAGGGTACCTACACTAATAGAAAAGCTGATGCATTTAGACAGTAGTGTTGTGCAAGGACCCTATGCAGTAAGCTTTATAGCAGTAGATAAAGATGGGTTGTGTATGTAGCTTAGCATGAGAGGCAGGAAAGAGGAATACCAAATATTCACCTTACACTAGGGTGTGTTTCAAAGTCCTGCCTACATTAGGGAAATTAAGAGAAATAACAAAGAAACCCCATACATACATAGCCAATGCTGATTTGGCTCCCTATGCAGACCTATGAGCTAATTTTTTTTTTTTCTTAATAAACACAAATCATCTAATCCTGTTCCTAGGCACTCAAAACCCTGGCAGCATCTGGCAACCAGTGACACCAGTGACACTCTGAGTGCACTATCGTTATCAAAGGAGCTCAACTGGCATTAGCAACAGTGGAAACCATCTGAAAGATTTCCCTAACATGGGCAGGGTCAGAAGGTCACAATGCTGGCTCTCTCTCCCTTGCACAAAAAGGTAATGCTGTAACTTACAAGAGTGAGACCTTTGTGAGGAGAGAGAGCACCTAGCAGCAACTGCTGTAACTATCCTAGCACCTACTACAGTGCTTAATTTGTGTCAGGGCTAGGCTTGACATCAGTTATGAAAGTAAAATAAACTGCTTGAACCCTGGCACCTCTTTCATTACAAATTAAACACTGACCTGCTATAAGCCACCATAGGTGTGGAGAGGAGCCACAGTGTAACCAGTGCTGAGCCTAGGGTTGCCAACCCTCCAGGGCTGTCCTGGAGTCTCCAGGAATTAAAGATTAATCTTTTGTTAAAGATAATGGCCTGTGTTGAAATCTCCAGGAATTCATCCAACCAAAGTTGGCAACCCTAGCTGAGCCGGGGCAAGGGCAGGAAAGGGCATGCGGTGGGTGCGGGGCCGAGAGGAAGTTCTTTCACAGGCCAGTTGGGCACCTCACACTTCCCCCTCCCCCCCCCCGGCACTTGCCCAGCTGAGCAGCCCAAACCCCAGGCCTTCAGGCACCGGCACAACAGGTTTCCCCTTTTTTCCCCGCGCAGCCCAGGGCAGGCGAGACCTGCGAGCCCATCCCCATGACACGCACGTGCGCGCTCAGCCCGCGGGGCAGCGGCACTGGCCGGAGGCGGGAAGCCGAGGGGACGAGCCAGGGCGCGGGCCAGGGGAGCCAGGCGCTGCCGGGCGGGCTGGGCGCACGCGCCCGGTAGCGGGCTGGCGGGAGAGCCACCCGGGGCAGGGGCAGGGGCCGGGTCCCTCCCTCACTCACCCTCTGCATGGCTTTCAGGATCAAAGCCAGCTCATAGCGGGGCATCCTGCCGGCGGCGGAGAGATGGGGTCAGAA